GAGCGGCTTCAGTGCCAAAACAGAGGAGCGGTTGTGTTGTGTTAGACGTGCGCTGCTCTTGAGCCTTGTCACAGGCTTCCTGCTTGTGTGTGCGCGTTTATCCTTGCTAAATGTAAACGAGAAGTCAATGTGTAAATACAGGCGGTGCTCAGATTCAGCGCTTTAGGATGCACTAAGCACTACATGCTTCTGATGCAGAAGAAATGAAAACATGGGAAAGCAAATTAAGTACAGATAGTTCTAGAGAGGTGCAGCAAAAACGTGGTGAAGTGTTGAAGCTTGTGTGAGAAGTGTGTGCAGAGGGTTGTGTGTCTGCTACAGAAATACAGGGTGTTGTAGCTGGTAAAAACAACTTGGCAGCCTGAGGGTAAGAGCTCAAAGCTGAGGTAAATTGTTGTATACACTGAATGCTTTTTCCTTCTCGTGCTTTCTCTTGCTCCATGTTAACTGCTTCAAAAAAACAGAGGCAATCAGTGGAAGAGCTTGTAGTTAGAATTACTGTTAAGCTTCTGTAGCTGGAAGCTTGGTATTTGTGTTCATACTGGAAAACAAGAACACCCCTGAGCCCTGTGAACCAGTGTAGGAGTTGTCATATGCCTTACTCTAAACTACAGCATTAGCAATCCCCTGCTGTCGTTTAGCATGTTGAGCAGTTCATTGGCAAGATGTTGGGGATGCTGCATGACTTACAGCGCTTCTCAGCTGTTCAAACATCACTTCTCCAGCAGGAAGCTACCCTGTATGTGTTCCAAGAATACAAGTTCCCCGTTGTCAGGAATGTCAGATAACTTGTGTACAATAGGCGCATTGACTTGAAACCAAACCCACAGCCTATCAAAAGCTGAACAGAATAATGGTGATTTCCTTTACTGCAGGTCAGCCAGTGTTCCTGGAAGCTCAAATGTGGCTGCTGGCAGTAACCGTCGTCTTCAGCAGACTCAGCACCAAGTAGACGAGGTAAAAGTATAGTCTGGAATCAGTGTAATTGTTCTTCCTTCAGGAAACTTATCTGTATTCATATAAACGGGATATTTTGGGCAGTTTTCCCTTTGTCATGTGAAGGGGAGGCCTGGGATCATTCAGCTTGCTTTATTGTACTCTCATCATCTTAACTCTTGCAAAGGTTAAAGAAAAGAGAAATCCATTCAGCTGGAGTAGGGAATTGGAGCAAAGTTACCACTGTCAAACGTTAGCTGCAAATCTGGTGCTTGAGGATTGGGCATAAGTAAAGATAAAAACCTTTGTTCTGGCAGAGAACAAGGTTGTCTCTCATCAATAGCAATGAAGGCTGACTGCCAAATATGAGACATATGGATTTCTGTGGAGTCCAAAAGCCAGGCTGGCTACTGACAGTGGTTTTTGACATGTCATATTTATATGCCTCAACTCCTTCTGAAGCAAGTTGGGAATTCTGTCCTAGGTTCAAGGGAATGCCAGCATTGCTGGCATTTTAAAGCAGGCATTGGGGACTTCCAGCCACAGGTGACTTTGTGTAAGCTTATGGCTGGATTTACTACAAGGCAGTAGCTCCTACTTCTGAGAAAAGCACATTAAGAGTGTTGTGTGTTGCTTGCAATTGAGTTCTACACTGGGTGATACAACTGATAACTTTAAGCATTAAACTGATGTAGGTTGTTGACATCATGAGAGTGAACGTGGACAAGGTGTTGGAGCGAGATCAGAAGCTGTCAGAGCTGGATGACCGTGCTGATGCGCTGCAGGCAGGAGCTTCCCAGTTTGAGACCAGTGCAGCCAAGCTGAAAAGAAAGTACTGGTGGAAGAACTGTAAGGTAACCATGGCTTGTCTGCTTACACTATACAATATTGCAGTGAAGGCTATTACTGTTACATCAGCCTCTCAAAAGGCAGAAGTGACTTTATCCAATGTTACTTAAGTTACAGCATCTATTTTTTTACAACGTGGCATAGTGATTAGGTGAAGTAGCTAAAAGCTGGATTACCAGCAGTGCTGCTTGGTGCAAGACTGTGTCTGAGATGGTAATGGCCAGAGGGAAACTCTTCAGTAATCTGAGGCTTTGGGGAACAAGAAGGCAGCCAAAAATGTATGGGTTGAGTAAAAGTGCAGGAAGTATTAGAAAGCAGAAAGAGCTCACTCAGTCTTGGAGCTGTTGGCAAAGGTTGGAATCATCTTCAGTGAGCAGCAAAGACAGTGAAAGACATGGTATAGGGTAAGAGTGGAAATGGTGTTTAAGAGTTCTTGACTCCTGCTTTTATGGTCACCTGAGACAGGCTTTGCATGGAGGCACAGTGGAGAAGAACCCATTGGTTTGCTTTGCCTCTGTGCACAGCCTACCTTAGAGTGTGACTCAAGCTTGCTTACTGAAGAAGTGTTACTTGCTGTGTTAGATCTAGCACATGGTGCAAAAGTACCTCGCAGTGGCTGTGTTCATGTACCCTGAAGGCCAGTTAATGCTGCTGCCTGCTTTGGAGTAAGTGTGTGTGGCTTTTTTCACAGATGTGGGTGATATTGATAGCTGTTGTTGTCATGATCATCATCATCATTATTGGTAAGTTTCACCAAAATGGGGATTTCTCATAGAGCTGGAATAGATGGTGTTAATTCACTGAGGGGTGCAGCTTAAATAAAGCCAGGATACTCAGCTGGAAGTATATAAACATGAGTTTGAAACAGCAGTGAGTGGTGAACTGTGACCGCTGCGGGAGCTCCAATAGCTCAGTCTCAACCACTTGTGCAGTGACATGGGTGACAGTGCGAATAGCAAGGACTTGGAAAACGGGAACAACCTTGGTTTTCTACAGCTGTGTGGTGCAGCAGTGTAAGGAGAAATTCCATTTGCCTCCCTTGTCCAGGAACTGTTTTTTCATGCGCCACATCTTGCTGGATGAATCCAGGGTGGCAGTTCCAAGGATGCTGCTGTGGCAGTAGAGGCTTTGCTGCTGAGTGCAATGATACTAATGTTGGGTCAGGATAGCAGGCCAGGAAACGTACAGTCCAGTGTTTGATTTGAATTCCCATTGATCCCCAAGTATTTCCTGGGAGGACAAAGTTTGAGTTAGTGCTGTAATACAGCAAGAAACACTGCAGTAACCATTGCCAACAGATGCGCAGTTGTGGGTGAGAAATACTGGTGTGCAGGCACAAAGGAAAACTAAAACTAGGAAAACCACCATGGGGAACTCTTAAATCTCTTCTTGGTTATCTCTGGTATGTGAGGTTCTTCACCTGCAGGATTCTTGGGCTGAAGGAGACTGTCCAACCTCTTTCTTCTTTTTATAGTCTGGAGCATATATTCATGAGTTGCAGGAAGAAACTCGGATCCCCTGGAGGTGCCTTATCTTCAGCCTCTCCACTTCAAACCCGCTGCGTTTTTCCAGCCCACTTACTGCTGTTTAAAGCCAAACTATTTTGTTTACCGAGATGTTAACTAACTTCACCTTGTTGCCTTAAGACACTCC